GATTCATGAAATGAACGTCTGTCTTGTGAAGTGGGATAGAGAATCGACATTAATCCTCACTAACTGGTGTATATACTGTACACATGGGTCAAATGAAATGTAGGCTCACATGAATTTAAGCTGCTCAGGTTTTATTGAAGTGATGCTTGAATACACACATGGGGGTGTTTGAACGTTATGTTACTGTCATATACGGTATGTGTTTAGTTGTTTACGTGCGTCTTAAAGGTTAGTTTGATGTCACGATGTCTTGAGGATGTGTGTGAGTGTGTGTTTTGCTGGAGAGTGTTGTATTTATGTGTTTCAGCAATGGTACACTGCCACCATGAACCTGCTGGGGACCTGGCTCACTGAACGCATGGATCAGCAGCTCCACGTCTACCAACTAAAAATCCTCATAAGGATTACAAAGGTAAGGACAGAAAAAAACACCTGTCAGGTTGATAAAACACCCGGAATTCTTTGCGTCCACACGTTGTGTTGACGTATTTCCGTGTCCTTGTAGAAAAAGTACCGGGACTTTCGGCTGCAAGGCGTCCTCGACTCCACCCTGAACAGTAAGATGTACGACACGGTGCGCAACAGGCTGACCTTGGAGGAGGCCACTGCTTCAGTGAGGGAAGGAGGCATGCAGGGCATCTCCATGAAGGACAGCGATGAGGAGGATGAAGAGGACGACTAGAGCCCATACACTGACACTCCAAACCCCCTCACCCCTGACCCCCTTTCACACTTTTGACTTTAGCCTGGTTACCGATGCATGTACCAACTCAGATAGCCACTCTAGGACCTCTTTGTCAGCTCGAAATGCCTATGAAGGAACTATTAACTATAAAAATAGTACTTATACTGAGGAAAATCTAAATAAAAATGTTAAAAAATAACCATGATTGGCAGTTTAGCTGTGTCATGATAAAGATAGCACCTATCTTTGATTCATTCATTTCTAAATTCATTTCTATGTGTTACTAAGCAATATGGAGAACCATTTGTTTGACAATGTTGAGTGAGATTAATAGGTGTGTCCCTGTCCAATGCAAACCTATATGGCGCTTCTTTGTCGTATTCTACATTCATTAATGGTACATTGTCGTGATGATGAGTGTGTGGACCCTTTTCTTTGTCTTGTCTGTTTTTAAGTGAATGCCAACTGCTTCAAACTGAAAATAAACCTCTGTATTTGTTTACGGCTGTTACAGATACACTGTCGTCTACTCACTGTTATTAACATCAACAGTAAGTCTAGACCTGCATTTTTATCATGTGTCAATGCTATGTGATCTTATCTCAATTACTAATTAGACATGATTCAACAGGAATCTTGAACTTCAATGAGTGGGTATTCTAGAGATGCAATATTCTCATAGCTCCATTTTGATAACTTGGGAGATTCTATTTTTATTTTAACATTAAAAGGCCTTGAAACAGGTTCTATTTTAATTGAGTTGCACTTTTACAGAGAAAAGAGCAAAAATAATTTTTTTTATTAAAAAAAAAGTTGGTCTGTCTTTGTTCTGTAATTGTGTAGAATGAGATGTCTGGCATTTGTTTGGGTCTCACTGTTGTTTTGTATATATTATATAAATATATATATAAATATAAAATGCTGTACATTGCATTCTGAGCCATCGCTGCATGCCTGTGGGTTCCCACCCTCCCCAAACGCTTTCTGTTTTCTGTGTGAATTAGCTGGTGGATTCATTCTTGCTTTTGCCTTATGAAAGCCAACAGTTGTAATATGCAAGAGCTGTGGCCTCGAAATAAAAATTACTGTACATGTGCATCCTCTGTCATGTTTACTAGCTGCACACCTGAGACACAATTATAGACACACCAAACTGTACTTACAGTGTTTGTTTGGCAGTACATTTACTCAAGTAGGTACTCTACTTTGGCACTTCAGATGGAGTCAAATTTGAACACACAAAGATGATACACATATTTGTTTGTTTAGTAAGTTCCATAAATCTGCAGAAAGACATCTGATAAAATTACGCTTCTTATTACTTTTTAGGTTGTCTTCAGTATCAAAGTCATATGGTGGTGGTTGTCAGTACATTCATGGTTACATTGCAAATAGTAACTGCTTATAGCGTATTCTGCATACTGTTAATGTTGCCAATTTGCCCAAATTTAAAAAAATAAAGGCTTAAAGGGTAGTGCTCTATTTTCTGCTACTTTATACCTCTATTCCACTAAATTTCAGAGGGAAATGTAGTTTTTACTCCACTACATTTAATAGTTACTGTATACATTAAGATATACATCCAAAACCTGGGATCATATACATTGAAAATGTATGAATTATGATGCATTGTAATAGATTACACTACCGACTAGTATATAGAGCCATCCTCCTCCAACCAACACCTAATGGCATCGTTAATAATAATGAAATATGACCCATTTTGCCTAATAAATTCTTTTCAATTAACACTTCTATAAATGAGTTAAATGTTGCATTCAGGACTTTTACATGTAAGTGAGTATTTCCACAGTGTGGTATTTCTACTTTTACTTGAGTACAGGATCTGAACACTTCTTGCAGCACTGTTGTTTGGTGACTGGCAGCAGGGGGCGACAGTACGAACAGGTTGCTTTCAATGCCACCAGTTTAAATCAACACTCCTCCATCAGTAGTTTGATTTAACACAAGGATGCTGTGCACCCAAACCCAAACTTTATTTAATGTATAGCAATACAGTTTACCTATTAAATAACACTATTACACTATAATATTGTATATGACAGCATCATAGAAATACAGGGCTATGATACTATCATATAAACATGTGATATGATGGACAAAACCATTTTATTACTTATTTAAGTTACAAAATAGACTTAACTACCAACCTGGCTTTAATGGACTGAGGCTAACATACTGGATCCCTGGACCATTGAGCAAATGTCAGGAAAATCTGGTGTCAATATTGACATGGTCCTCAGAGGGGCAGGTGGGGATTTTGCTGTGGAGATTTGGATAATACATTTCCCACAAAAGTACAATCTGTTACAGGGCCACTTTACAAACCAAATCTTTGTATGAAAATATAAACTTCTATGATCACAAATATTACATTAAAGTCAAAGACATTTGCTTTGAAGTGAATGTGTTCAGCCACAGCAACCATGTTTCCAATGAGAGTAGAAATATCAAACAGAAACGACGTTGGCGTTCACTCAAAATACAAAAACTGTTGCTGCAAAGAAAGGTTTTTGTTGCACAGCTAAGTGATCAGCAATCTGGACTTTTCTCCAAATGTTGGAGAGTTTTCACTGAATTTAGCAAACTCCCCCTTAGTCAGAGAAGTGGGTGAGGGGGAAAAAAAAGTTTTCATCATAGAGTATGAGGATACACATGAATCAATCAAGAGAGAGGGATGTTCAGGATTGAAAAGGGCTTATAATTAAGAGCCACAAAATAGTGTGGAGACAGAATAACAGCCCAAATAAAACACATTTTACAGTTTGAATTTTAAATCTTACTGTCTAATGTGAGGAAAGCTTCATGATTATCTTCTGTAATCCTGAGGCTAGGACAGAAACATGCTGTACTCTGGTTTAATTTACACCTCTGACACTGGTAATCTACACTGCAAGATTTAACAATTTTGATTTTAAATTCTAGTTGATTAAATAGATGTCAGGATAAAACCACTTACATGTTGCAAACTGGAACCACATCTTTGGTTACAAATAAAGCATCAACCCCGCCCCAAAAAAAGAGACTACATTGCCTATAGAAAGTATTCACCTCCTTTGGATTTTATCATGTTTTATTTATTTACAATTTTGAATCACAGTGGATGTAAATAGGATTTTTTTTAAAGAAAAAAAAACTCCTTATTGTCAAAGTGAAATCAAAAGTCTGGAGCTAACATAAACACACGATTGCACAAGTATTCTTTTCTTTACTATGGACATCACCTGTGTGTAATCAAGGTCTTATTTTAGGTTAAATATAACTGCATCCAACAGTTATTAGTCAATTTCCTGGCAAAAAACTGCATCATGAAAACAAATTAATACTGCAAACAACTCTGGGGCACGTTTACCAAAAAGTACTAATCAAGAACATTTCCAAGGCACTGGATTTCCCTATGTGATTATAAAAATGAAAGCTCTGCCTAGAGCAGGTCATCCTGTGTTTGGAGAGGGGCACAAGTGACACCACAAACAAGCCCAGAGAGTTCTGAAGAAGCTGAAGGGGTTTCATGGTGTCCAGGTGTTGCCGTAACCAGTTGTAGCTTTGTGGAAAAGTGGTAAAGTCCAACCCTCTGGGGAAAAGAGAGGGGAAATATAAAGCCACAGCTCCACGAGAATGTCTTCTCAGTGTCTCTGACTGGCGTGGCCGAGTCTAGACCTTAATCCAGTCCAGAGTTAGTGGCAGGACTTGAAATGTTGCTGTGGTGTTTTTGATAAATTATGGGGGTGAATACTGGTGCAATCAATGTTGGGTTTTCTGTTTGTAATGAATTTAAATGAATTTGTTTTCACTTGACCACATTAAAAGGACCAGTATGTAGGATTTAGTGGCATTAAGTGTTGAATTTGCAGATTTCAAATAACTGAACACCGCTTGTGTCGCTATTCGTCTTCTACGGTGCTGCAAAACTCGCAAAGAACACAAAAGGCCCCATCTACAGCGGGTGTTTGGTTTATCCGTTCTGGGCTACTGTAGAAACATAGCGGTTCAACATGCAAGGCCACCAATGGCGTCTGTAGATAAAAATGGCTACTCGTATGGTAATGAAAACACAGCGATTACTATATTCAGGTGATTATACACACACATTATACAGAAATGTTCCACACTGGACCTTTAAAGTAGTTTCTTCTGTTTATCGGCGTCAGAAATTAATCATAATTACATCCACTGTGATTTAATGCTGTAAAACAATAAACATGGACATTTGTGTGGGGTGAATATTTTTTGTAGACACTGTACATTCAGATACCCATTACATTTGTTAACAGTTGAGCTTTGACAGTTGAGGTTAAAAAAGCTGGAAAAAAGGCAGAAAAAAAAAAAAATTGAGCTTTGTAGATAATTCATGGCAAGCTGCAGAATCTCAAAACAAATATGGATCTACATCAAGGCAAGTGGACAAGTAGGCAAAATTACAAAAAAAAAAGAAAGCATTGGCTGGCTATTAAGGATATAATATATATATATATATATATATGTTACAAAACAATATAACAATATAAATCCCTGTAAAAAGCAATAAATGTTCACATTAGATGTTGAATCACACTTAAAAATAAGCCATAAGTACATTATACAAGACAGCAGTGAGATATTTGAACAATATATGAATATTAGGCAGGTAATAGTCTCTTAACGTGTGATAAAGAGCTTCACCCATGTGGAGTGGAGCCTAAAAACAGTTAGTTTGATCGAGATGACAAAGTGACATAATGCATGCTGGGCTACGTTGTGATGTGATGTTTTGTTTTTGAGACATTATTGGAGGTGGATCGCCGTAACTCATCCTGGTCTTCATGCTTCAGGTTGCGTCTCAATGCGGTCCAAAGATCCCCAGTTGTGTGGTGATGTCAGGATTTCACTGTGAAACTGTTTCACTCACTGGATTTAGGCAGTAACACTGATAGTATAGTGCAAACTGGACAGAGCTGCTTTTTCCTCACGTCAACTTAAACAGGTGCAAACGCTCAGCAGGATAACATTTAAGACAAGAAATAAAGGACAAAAACATAAATATCAAAAAACTTTTATCAGTATAAAAAGTAATAAGGTTATTCATTTAATCAATAGTCTGGCAAAAAGGCCTCAGAAAAGTTTTTGAGTTTTTTTTTTTTTTTACAAATTAAGTGCCTGTAGGAATGTCCTCAGACGAGCGACTCCATGCTCTCAGCGGGGTCCGACTCGTCTGCAATCACCACCACCCCGTTAGTGTCCATGTGCATGGGGCTCAGGCCGCACTCGCTGTTACTGACCAGGCTGAGCATGGCTTTGTAAAGGTACTGGTACTGCTCCTGTGCACACAAAACACACAACAGGTTAACATTTCAGGTCACATATCCTTCCCCATGCTACAAAACTTTAAAACTGAGATCATAACATTTCTTTAAAATCTGCAATAATTAATCATTTTGACTCAAACATTAAATCAAATGACTAATGTGAAACAGG